TCATTCAAGAATAGAAGGTACTGAGCATTACTCACATTTGACATAGGTTTCTTCTTGCACATCTTCATATCGAATCCTTGGCTTCAACTCTGAGTCTCGTTGAGCTCATCAACAAATTGTCACACCTCTCAGCAAGCCCGCAAGAAGTCTATCATCAGGCAATGGACCGCATAAAGACGAACTCCGTTTCGAAACGGATTTTGGCTATTCATGCCTTGTCTTGGGTCGTTTACGCTAAGAGAGCTCTCACTGTCGATGAGCTCCTACACGCTGTCGCAATTCGTAGTGCCCCACCATCTTCGTTCACCGACAATGAGCCGAGAAAGAATCTCCTGCCTACATCGTCCAATATGTGTACGGAAGAAGTTCTTTTATCAGCCTGCATCGGCCTCATCGTCGTTGTCCCCGGTGGCTCTGCATCTGAAAGGACTGTTCGATTGGCTCATGCCACTGCAGCGGAATTCCTCTTGGCTCAAGAGATAATCAGAGATGAGCAGGCTACCTTTCTGGAAACCTGTTTAAACTGTCTTTTCCACGCCTCAAGTCAAAAGTCTTGCTACTCTGGGGAAGAGCTCAACAAGCACTGCAAGATGTATCCTCTCTTCCGTTACGCAGCGGCGTACTGGGGACACCACTTCTCCGAGGTGCCCAAAGTAAAAGGAAGTAATTACAAGTTGGCCTGGGACTTTGCATCAGACGAAGTTAAGCTAGGCAATGCATTGAGAACGATGACAGACCCAAGGGTCTCGCACCAGACAAAAGTTTCTGGAGGGCATGTCTCAGCTTACTTTGGGCTTGAGAGTCTGGTCAGGAGAGCGATGTCCAAGGCCACCAATGTTGACTTCAATGCCAGAACAAAGAGCGGAGATACCCCATTACACTGGGCAGTAGCCCATAACCAACAAGATTTCGCGCTGTTTCTGATCAATGCAGGGGCGGATCTCAACATCCAAAACACCAATGGCAAGACGGTCCTACACATGGCGACGGCCATGGACCACAGACAGTTTATCAACATTCTCATAGAGAAAAGGGCAGACCTTGAGCTCCAAGACTCCGAGGGATACACTTGTTTGCGATGGGCTGCCCGTTATGGATACCAGAGGACTGTTAGTACCCTGCTGGAGGCCGGAGCCAAGGTCAGCGCGTCTGACAAGGATGGATACACAGCGTTACGCTGGGCAGCACGAGAGGGGTACAAGTCGATCGTTAAGACTCTCATTGACAGAGGCTCATCAATTGAGTCACCGGGCTCAGAGGAGTGGACGCTGATGAGATGGGCAGCACAAGAGGGCCAAGACTACATCATCAGCCGCTTAGCTAAAAGAGGTGTCAGTTTGAATAATTCGGATTCCGAGGGATTGACTGCTTTGAGCTGGGCCGTGAAGTACAAGCGAGAGATGACCGTATGGCAGCTGATCAAGGGTGGTGCAGATGTCAATAAGCCGGACAAGAAGGGAAACCGACCTCTTCATCTGGCTGCACACAACACCAGCGGCGATCAAGACAGAAGCTCTCTGAATATAGTCTGGATACTCTTACAGAACAAGGCCGAGATCGACGCCAGGAACAAACACGGAATGACACCTCTGCATCTAGCAGCAGCCAGAGGAACCGCCTCAACCGTCTGGCTGCTACTCGAAAACGGAGCGAATCCAACTCAAGTTGACACAAATGATCACAACGCATTATACAAGGCCGTAACTGGGCTTCATCTTGGATGCTGCCAGATTCTGATCCAGAAAGCGGAGCATCTCGTCAACTCCAAGGACTTGTCATGGCGTACGCCTTTGCATGACGCGGCCTCAGAGGGGTCCCTCCCGATTGTCGAAATGCTCCTACGCCACGATGCGCATATAGATGCTCAGACCCGCCAGGGTCAAACACCACTTTATCTCTCAATCCTCCAAGACCATCTTAGTGTTGCCGAGTTGCTAGTCAAGAAAGGTGCAAACTTACAGATCCTCAACACCAACAAGCGATGGACGGCTTTACACCATGCAGCATGGACAGGAAGTATTCTCATGGTAGAGATGCTTATCAGTAATGGGGCAGACGTTGCCGCGCAGGATCGACAAGGGTACACTGCGCAGCATCTTGCGCTTCAGGCTGGACATGGCGTGATCGTGGATTGCCTGAGGGCGAGTGGAGCAGATACACAATACCTGGATCCCGAAAGGTTGAAGTCAAAGGACTTGAATGGAGAAGGCAAAGAGAAATCATTCACATCGACTGATACCTCTTTCCCTTTCGAGGAAGCGAAAAGTGCTGAGTCGCCACAAACAGAAGAGCGTCCGTGGTGGAAGGGAGATAGAAGGTTCGCGGCTACTGTGGAGGATGAGTGACCATTGGACATCGTTGGAAAGTACACTGGGTTGAGGCTTTGGCTTTGAAACTCAAAAAGGATGGATTTGATGTAATCTTGCACTTCTTGCGCATCCAATCGACATTAATAACAAGACTGTGATCTCGAAGGAACCAAAACATCAGACCTTCTCCTCATTCTTCTCCAGCAGATCCAGAATCTCTCTTGCAGCCTTCTCTCGACCAGCGCCTTCCGGATGCCGCTTGGCTAGTGCTAGAGCTTGTTCCTGCATCGCTTGCGCCTGGGGGCCAAGCACGACTTCAATCAGCTTTTCGGAAAGTTCTTCTCTCTCCCAGTAAGGCTTGGCCTTCCTGTTGGCCCACTTCCCAATGCCCAAGATCTCTGACCGAATAGCGAAGTCATAGCAGTCGCCCCAACCTGGCAGAACGACTTGTGGTATACCAGTACTAGGTTGGAAGTCAGCGAGAGCTCTTGAGTTGATTGAGAAGGTGCTTACCACAAAGCCTCATGGAATGAGTTGGAGCCGCCATGACTGACACAGCACACGAGATGACCAGACTCTAGGATACTCTTTGGTTCGGCAGTAAACCAGTCCGTGATCTTGACTCTATCCTGTTTGATGAAGGGATTCATGATTGCCTTGACATCGAGCCATGGCCCAGAGTCTTCGGTTGCGTTCTCATTCTCCTCCAACTTGCGCGGCATCTTCCAAAGGACTTGGAGTCTAGCTTCATCTTCAGAACCACCCTTGTGTTCTTCTGCTCGATCAAGAAGATTTCGAATCGCATGCGCAAATTCAGTCGCCTTCGGAAGATCATAGAAATGGTGCGTGCCGAGACTGATGAAGACTGTTGGCCCTCGACTCAGCCACTCAGCAAGTTCAGGATCTTCGATCTCAATCTTGGGGGCAGCGCGGGTGATAGGACCACATGGAGTGATGGACTCGGGGATGGTCTCAAAGGGGAAATCAATGTCGGGACTATTGGCGACAAGGATTCGAAGGCCCTTGGGTGGTGCTTTCAGAAGGCCAAGCTCGTTCCAGGTGATGATCTCGATGCCGGGTCCAGCATGTTTGGCGAGATGTGCCGAGACACGCTTATATCTCGAATCCGCAAAGAGTCCGTATCCGGCGACGAGGTTGAAGAAAACGTTGAGGGGGACTAGATGGAGTGGGATCGGAAATGGTAGGCTTGATTGAATACTTGGCTGATGTTAGTTAGAAATTATAGCTTCGACTCTACTTTACCTGCACTCACATGGGATACTTCCACAGCATTGCGAGCTTGGGTTGCATTGGCAGCGCAAATTCTTTGATAGTATTTGGAGCCAGACAAATCCAGTTGATGTTTGCTTGGTTGGCAAATGTTGTAGCTGGCGCGAAGAACGCCTCCACCACAGTCACATCCGGCTTCACTTCCTCGAAGACTTCCTCGATAGCTTTATAAGTCTCGAAGAATTCCTCTGGGCTCCATGGAAGTGCGAGGCCAGCAAGTGTGAGCATGTTGCGGGACGTATTGACGAGCCCTGGCTTTGTAAGCCAAGTAGCCAGCGCCGGATTGTCAGGTCTATCCACGGCCTCGAAGTGGGAGAGGCCGATGATTGGATGTAGCTTGACGGCGTTCCCAGCCGGGGCTCCTTCTATCTTGTTGCATTGGTCGACGAAGCGGCGGAGCTGAGAATCAAAGCCTGCTTGTGAGCCAATGTGTACTTCGACATCGGGGTTGATCTTTATCAAGGCGTAGGTAGCTGAAAGAATGACATTAGCCTGACCATAATCTTTGTTACAGAGGAACAAGATCTTTTTCTTGGTTGATGACATCTTGAAGGGTGATCTCCGACTGCTGAATATACGGTACCGTATGATGAAGCTTAATCAGGCCATGGGGGAAAAGTGCTGGAGCTACGTTCGAGGTAGCCTAAGCTTTATATAAGGCAGTCTCCAGTAGTAAATGGAAATCCTTCGGCCTTCTTCTCTTATTTTAGGTTACCCACCTGCCTTTCTCCCTGGAAAAGCTCAGAAGCACGCCAAGACATCGTGGGGTGTGGGCACTGATTGTAGGTGCACCACTTGCAGAAATGATATAAAAATCGTTCTGATAAACTATTTCAACGAGATTCAGGATTGGTTGCGCTCTTCTCGCTGTGCTGTGCTACACAGCCAAGAAACTCAACATCGCTGACGTGAGATAGACCGGCATCGTGCACTTCAACGTTACAGATTAAGCCAAAAGGGCAAGAGGTTGTGGACTGAAGTGCGCGTTAGCTCCACTGCGGAAGGATTCCCGTTTGGTACCTTATCTCAATGTTCCATTAGATTTACGCCAGATGCGTTCGGATGATGTTCCTAAGCGGAGTTTGTGCGACATTGCAGTCTGAGTGATGTGGCGATCATCTGCCGCTCGAATGGGCGTACGAAGCCGGTGGGAGACACCCGGGCCGAGTCGTCACTTCTCCCAGGTCATAAACATACCATTTTGGGTCAGATATGCTGGCGAGCGGAGACTAATTGAGCATTGTTACCGAATGCTGCAGCCGAACAGTGTTGTGAACCTGTTTGATTGGATCACGAATGCACTGAAGGCAACATTGATGCTACGCCGAGATTACTTGCGTTTTTCTGACATCTAAACTGCAGCGGGTGTTTGAAAATTCGTGTTTATTGAAATTGCGTGTCCTATTGCAGATCATGTCTGAATTTGGAGTGATCTCTATCCCCTTGTCCCAGTAGAGTGTTGTGGGAGTCGAGTTCAGTAACGGTGTAGTGATGAACTCCAGAGGCACTCATCTCATGCTTTGGTACTTCTGCCCACATCTCATGCTTAGGTATTGATCCACCATACAATTCAGTCTGTGGTACATCCGACTGCAACTCCCCTGGAGCCACAGGGTGATAGTAAGCCTGGTATGCTCCATCCCCCTTTGCATGGTCAGGATATGGAGCAAGTGCAGTCGCTGCTTCGGCGGCTTGCTTCTGCTTCCGGCGTTTGACGAAGCAGAATAGAGCAAGCCCTATGATGGCACCGACGACGGCTCCAACTACAGCTCCAACAATGGCGGCTAGTGGGGTAGATCCCTTGGTATCTTTGTTCTCTGCTGGATCATGATTGGTTTCTCCAGTTGTGTTTGTATTTGACTTCCTGAAAAGTGCCTGAACTTCATTGGATGACCACTGGACGGAACTGATACCACTAGATTGATGTTAGCACTTTGGCTCATGCTGTCAGCTTTCAAGTGCTAGGCTCATTTCACTTACGTTTGCTGATACCAGTCACTGACTGTCTTCGCACTTTCGTAGTTCTTGGCGTCTGCGTCGTAGTCCGTCTTCCACTTCCAGTCTGTCATGTCGAAGAGACCGAGTCCTTGCGGCCAGGGGTCGGCACTCGTATATCCCGTTCTGCCATCCGCTCCTCCAACTGACAGCATTTGACGGCGGCCAACTAATGCGCAGCAATGATTCCTCCTTGGATTTTTCGACTCGTAAGCGACTTGGTTCCAGAAGAACCCCGGAAGGCTTAAAACGAAGACATCATCATAAGTTGAACCTGTCTCACTATTGGTGCCGCCGAACACAAAGCTAAAACTTCATTAGTATCAACGAAAAGTCGTATGAGATCAATGGAAATGCTCACATTTCGTAGGTTCCGTTGTTGCCTTCGACTCCAACGCTGCAGAAATTGCTGCGGGGAGTGGGCGCATTTCCGGTTGTCTTTTGCCAGTACCAATCTCTAGTTACTGGATCCATGAAGGTCAAGTTGCTGAAGTCCTGCCATCCGAGAGGCTTCGCCTGATCAGGTTCGAGACCCCATGTTGCGCCGCCCATTATGGTGATGAGACCATTCGAACCAAAAGTCGGGATGTAGACGGCTGAGCCTCCCGTCAAAGTGCCGTACTTGGAGAAGGCATCATTTGTTTCATTTGCCCAAGACCTCGTGGTCATGTTGTAGGACAAGATGCCCGGGAGTGGCTGCGAGTAAGGGTTAGATGTCGTCCAGCCTGACGATTGTCCCCCAAACCAGAACCCGGCGTCGGGGGTACTAGCGAATGCGCCCCCCTCATTTCGTCGCAATTCTTGGAAAAGTGTTGGGTTCGCTGGCGTCTCTTTTGACCATGTCCCACCTCCTTTGCCGTCTGCTTCAAACTTCCAGGACGTGGGCTCGTCTAATGGAGCACCGAATGGGCTATGTCCGCCCCAAATCCAGAATGTACTCTTCGCGTCGTTTTTCCACATCGCCTGTTGGTCCATAGTCTTCGGCGTCTTCGGAATCTCCCTGATCCTGACGCTGGTTGCGGACCATGACGTCGTCAAATCGATCGATAATGTGGAGTTGACTAGGATTCCACCGCGTGAGAAGGTGTCGGGATTGATCGCTTCGTCGTTGAAGTAACTGACCTGCGTTGGAGCCTCGCGACGTTATCGGGTTACCTCGCGCGTCGAGCTGAGAGATCTCGCCGCCATCGATGTAGGCGTAGTCGCCAAGGACAACGACTAAATGGCTTAAATCAGTTGAATTCGATTGTTCAAATGTTGATATCCACTACCTCTTGCTTCTGCTCGACGGAGGAAGATCTCGGGAGAGGGTACATCTGACAGTTCCCAGGCGCGTCTCGACAGCGCATTCGCCAGGTTGGGCAGCTGCATCACACATCCCAGAAAAGCTCCCTTCACCGACGGCTTGAGCATCATCGTTTCGTGAAATGAAAGAGTGAATAAAACAGTTGTGAAACGAACGACGCGACGAAAACGCCAAAACCAACGAAAAAGTGAGGAACGATGAGGAGAAAGTCAAGTCTCAGCCATCAAACTCCCCGCCATGTTCGAAGGAAAGGCTCCATGAAACTGGGAAAGGGAGCGGCCGCAATGTTGGCTTCGGTTGAGGCTGATGCTGCCGAAATTAACATCAAACCCAAATCATGCTCAAAGCCTGCAGACCCATGACGCTAAATCAGAGGCGATGAGCCAAAATGCCCTGGCATTGGGCAAAATCGCTCGCGAAGGATCGTTAGCGCCCTTGGCGTGCTGACGGGCTTCCAAACCCTCGTCCCTTTCGCAGCCTGTTGTGGCGTTGGCACGTTGTTCAGAAAGGCCTAACAATCTCACTGTCTCTGAATGGCCTGTCTTAGGTACCAGTCTCCTGGAAGACGACATAGAAGGTGATGATGTGCTGGACTGAATGGTATGCTATAGCTTGGCTCTGACCGACCGAGCTTTTCACTTCCAAAAGATTTGAGAATCTTGGGGTAAAGTCTTTGTAACAGAACGACGGCGGCGGGCTAGCAAAGATGACACCCGGGGTTTCCCACGGACCAAAAACACAGGCAACAGCTTAATCAACTTAAGGTGCAACAAGCCTTATTCCGCCGGAGATCGTGGCCGACAGTGGGCCAAAATCGCCCGCGGCAATACGCATAGCGAGATTATCATCCCTGTAACGCAGACCCTTGACGATTTGGGGGCTGCTCCAGGGACTGTGCAGCACCCTGCTGATACTTTCCAGATTCTCTGTTCGTTCGGCTCGGACATGAGAAGGTGATCCAATTATCGCTGTTTCACTGTATTTCCGGCCTAATGGTAGACAAATTGCTCACATTCTGGGCTACAAAATGTTGGACTAGTTCCGAGTGATGGAATCCCAATCAGTCTCCATAATTCCAGTTGAGTCTGGTGAGAACCGTCAAAGCACAGTTTGCCTCCAAGGAGTACATTTCAAGTTGGATGAGAAAGCGAAAGATCATTGTTACAAACCAGCTTTGCCTTCACCGGCGAAGATAGACAGTTGTGTCTAGTCTTTTCAAAATCGAGAGCAAAATTATAATAGTGGTCGTCATAAATAAGAAAGTTTCTCAGAACATCATGGCATTAGGCTAAGAAGAGCTACATCAAGTACCACTAAATGCCTGTCGTTTTAAGCTTCACTTTCTGTCGTCGGAAGTTTTGCCACAAGAAAAACCGAGACCTTGGATGACTCCGAGTATGAGAAAGGTTCAGCTGAACCAGAAGCGCCAAAGACCGTGGAAAGTGCGCTGCAATTACAAGCTATGAGTATGGTGCCGAAGGAGAAGCCAAGAAACAATACCCAACAGGATTCAGATAACAATTCCGCACAAAAGTATGTTTCATTTCCCCCCATTCCTGGCGAACCGAACGACGAGACGTTAAGGGAAACTCAAAGAGAACAACCGCAAGTGGGGGCAGAGACTGTAGAAGAAAATCAAAAGGAACAACCGTTAGTGGATGTAGAATCAAATCAGCAAGAGCCTCCCAATGAGCCTATGCAGCGGCCACATAGAGCTTCGTCTTTATGGTTCTGGCACGAAAAATGAGATAGCTCGATAGAAACCGTCATAGGTGCGATTAAGAAACCAGGGATGCGCAATATGACTTAATCCGATGCGTTCATGACTTCAGATATCGTTGAAGAGAGAAAGATGCACATATGCTTACATCAGGAGTCAACTACGGTTGTTGACCTACTTAACCTTTGTGCTCGCTTTCACTCCTGTGTAGTGGAATCCAGGAGCCAGAAGTAACCTCACTTGCGGCACTGGCAACACAACTAAGTGGCCATTCGCCAGACAAACTCCCAAGTGCCAACTCAGATCTGCACTAAGCGTCTTGATTTATCCACTTTCATTGGAGATCAGCCATCTGCCTGAAGTAAGACCAGGGCAAACAGTGATCTTGTGGAATAGCAGGAAACACTTTCTAACTCAAGAACCAGCTCGAATAAAACTCTAATTCGTCCGAAGGAAGTCAAGTTAGGTAAAAATCGAAAGGTTGATGGGGTTACCTATTGCTGCGCACTAATCTTCCCAAGTTGAATGTCGGTGAATGGTGCCCAAGCTCGGCGCTTGAGCCATTGAGCGGAACGCGAGCTAGGCCGTAACGAAAGATTTATCCTGAAGCCGCGGAAAATTCTCGCCCATACAAAACAGACCAGTGTGTCACGACGATTCATGACTTTACCCCCAGGTAGGTAAACCCGAAACTCGGCCGGAAAGAGAGTCATAGAACCATTGACGGATGGGGAGAATCCAAGAGATAGAAACTCGGCATAATGGGAATCTCGCACGCATTTATAATATGATCAAGCTTCCCGCCGATATGATTGAATAAGCACAACATTCAATACAAGCTAATCAGTTGCCGCGCAACTCTTCACTTGAATACTTATCCATTAATTCGCGTGTACTTCGTGTTCGCAACCACAGAGCACGATGTGGTCGTCTTTCACGGTTGCAATAAAGCCGTTGCTGGTCACGAGCATATGCCTAATCCAGTCTATTCAATGTCTAAAGACTGTTGAGATCCCCTTCACCCGCATGGCCGACCCTAACAGCAACTTCGTTGCATCGATGCAAATCTCGGTTGGATCTCCACCGCAACAAGTTTTGGCGATCTTCGACACAGGGAGCAGTGATCTCTGGGTTCCTCAGCTCAACAGCCGGCTATGCAAAGACCGCTTGGCAACATGCACCGCCAGCAACGGCAGGAACTCTAGCGTCTCAGGTGCATTTGATAACGCCAAATCAACTACCTTTAATGCCAATCGCTCTCCGTTCGAGGCTACGTACGCAAATGGTGTTGAAATCCAAGGAACCTTCATGTCAGAATCAGTCACGGTCGGCAACACATCGATCTCAAATAACACTATGGGATTGGGTCAGACTGGCAAGCTGACATCACCCCTGATTGCCATCCTGGGCGTCGGCCCCTCGAGCTCAGAGGCGTCCGTTCTCGCCAATAATGCTAAGCCGTACACGAACTTTCCAGAAAATCTCAAAGCCCAGGGGCTCACCAAGTCGCTGGCTTACAGTGTATACTTGAATGATTTCAGTTAGTTTCCATATTTGGATTCTTAATGTACGCTTAAAATTTGCTGACATCGCTCAGGGTCGCCTACTGGAAGCGTCGTGTTTGGCGGGATGGACACTGCCAAGTTCACAGGACAAATGCAGATGATCCCTCTCGTTGGACAGAAGCTATTCAAATCGAATGACTTCATCGTGCCTTGGACTTCCTTCTCCTTCTCGGCAGACAAGAATGCCAAACCAACTGCAATTGGGGGAAACAACTTCCCACCCGTCCTCGTTGATACTGGCAACCCATCCTTATCCTTCCCACCAAAGATATTGGATCTAATCGGACCGGCTATCAATATCCAAACACTACAGGATGGAACGAAGGCATTGAAGTGCAGCAGCGGCGATTCGGGTGCCAAGTTCAACTTCGAGTTCCAGACGGCCAAGGTCGAGGTCCCTCTGTCGATGATCTTCATCCCCCTCATGAAGAACGGGGCACCCGTCACCGACAAGAGTGGCAGTTCCCTGTGCACACTTCCGTTAGAACCCATTGACAGTAACGTAGCATCTTTTGGTGCGCCTATGCTTTCGGCTGTGTACACGGTCTTTGATCTTGAGAACAAACAGCTCGGAATGGCACAGGCTAAACTAAACGAGTCAGCATCAAACATCGAGGAATTTGTGCCAGCCAACCCATCGAAGGGAACAGCCAAACGGCCACAAGCGCAAAGTGTGCGCTTCAGACAGAAGTGATGGAAGAATCATAGCATGCTCATAGACCGATTTGCTTGCAGGCTGGTTTCACAAGCTCTTTCTCTTTTCGCATTTCTGAGTGGCATTGTATAGAGCCAACTTAGCATGCAATTGTAACACCTGCAAGATAGAACGATTGTCAACATCCGCGCATCTAATGAGCGAGACTCAAGACAAAAACAAGACAAAAATTGCAGGGTACGAGGAGCTCTTTGATATTCTCCCAGTTGTATTCCAGAGATCACGAATTTCTTCCAATGTTGTTGACATCAGAGATGTCGGTGAGCTAACACGCCAAGTAGTCCAATAACCTTGGAAAAAAACAGGGAAAGTTCAAATTCGTAGGTTTCTAGACCCAGAAAAATCACGCATCGACTGGTCTTGCTTGCGCGATAACTTATCAGCATTCTCCATAATAGTGTCTAAATCCACAGATAAATACGGAGTTGTTGTCTTCCAGCTCCTTGCACCACCAAATCGGAGCTTGGCCTCGGCAACTATACGGACTAATGAGCGGGTACGCAATGCAACATGTAGATCAACTTGATACGGGAGGCAGAAGCAACCGTGCTGCCGTCCGGTTTTTGTGGATCGATGAGAGGCAAACAAAAACAACACACCTCGTACGAAGGCATCGTCATCTTGAGAGACAAATATTGTCCCTACACTTCCCCTCTGTCAGGTGACAAACCCGCCGATATCTTTTGGCATCAGATCCAACCAGCTTGCCATAAAACAGACTCACGAGGATATGTCTCCCGCGTCATCGATTCACGATCCAGGCGAAAGCCAGCCGCTCCTCTCGAGGCATCGACGACGCACCGGCACATTCCAACTGCCATCATTCAATGGCCAGCGACTCGTGTCGCCCCTATCCATGCGACGTGCCTCCCTACAGGAGGTTCACCCACATCACGAAGACGTCGAGCCAGTACTGCCGGCCGCGCCAGTCGCCGCCCACCAAGAGACGCGCCTACACAAGCCGCAATGGGCGCTTAGTGACAGGCCACCAAACACATGGGCCCAAATCCGTCATTACTGGCGGGAGGAATTTGCGTGAGTACCTGAATATCGGCTGGATCCATCTTTACATCACTTCAATCGCGAACATGGCTCCCCACCGGAGCCTCCCCCACCGGGATGCCTTACGGCAATGGAGCTCTCAGAATCAATCCGATGCTGACCGCACACATGCACAGTGAATTCTGGGGTATCTTCATGATCTTGCTCTTTGGAGCAGGTGTGGAATGCGAGACGCGTCTGAATTACCAGTCGGCCGACATCCGCGAAAATGCTGGTGACTTTTTGCAGTGCCGCCTGGCCTGGGCCGCCGGCGTGGCTATGGCCGTATGGATGTCCGGTGGCGTATCAGGTGGACACTGCAACCCAACCGTGACAGTTGTCCTCGCCCTTTTCCGCGGCTTCCCCTGGCGCAAAGTGCCCAGCTTTTTGGCTGCGCAGGTCTTGGGTGCTACCTTCGCCAGTCTTGCCGTCTATCTGAACTACTCCACCAGCATTGCAGAGTACGAGGGCGGCGCTGCCCGCACTTTGATCGGGGAACATGCCACTGCCGGTCTCTTCTTCACCTTTCCCAAGTCTGGACTTCCTTATGCCGGCGCCTTTTACACCGAGTTCCTTGCCTCGGCCGCGCTGGTGGCTATCGTGTTTGCTCTGGCTGATAAGAACAACCTATCGCCGCCAAAGGGCACACAACCCTTTGCTATGTTCTTGGCTTTGCTGGCCATCGGCTCCGCCTTGGGCATCAACACTGGGTACGCCATGAATGGTGCCAGAGATACTGGCCCACGTATTGCGTTGGCTATCGTTGGCTATGGCTCGGATGTCTTCACTCATGATTCTTACTACTGGCTGTGGGCCCCTTGGGCTGCTGCTATTGTTGGTGGTATCGCGGGTGCTTGCGTGTATGATGGATTCATCTACACTGGGCGTGACTCTCCGTTCAACATCCCGAGGAAGGAAGATGACTAAATGGCGTGATTGGAGGGTCATCATATTGACCCTGAGAAATCAGAGTCAAACGGGATAGCATCAGGTTGTATTGGAATTTTCTGGCTGTCACAAGTTATTGAGGAGATATGTGGGATGAGATTTTAGCCACCTGCAGATTGGCTGTGACCTCAGACAGGACAGAATAGATCCGACGCAAGATAGCAACGGCAATACTTGGAATAGGCGTCAAGAAAGGCTGATTAAAGACGTGTATAGGGATGGGTTATCTCACGGTAATGATCACTGACCTATGAAGATATCTTTGGAGTGAAAGTTTTTAGCATGCCAGGCAGATAATGTACTCGAATCGAAGACGCGTGCGCCCAAATACAGGCTCCCAAATCAAAAATCCTTTTGGGCTTCACCCAAGTGGTGGGCCACATCCGGGTTCTTGCGAGTATCAGAGTCAGTTCAACCATGCAGTTATTCTAAGTCTCTTGCGCTTTCTTTCGGATCAAGGCGTGCGGTAAGAATTGGGATGTGGCCTGAGCTAGCTCCCGCTGACTCGAGCTGAACTCAAGTCACCCGGTGGAGAGCCATCAACATTAGCAACAAACTTCAACCGATATAGTTTAGATGAAGTTCATGTAGTAACACCTCATACCAAGATCTATTCATTCGGGTCATTAAATATCTCTTTGTAATCGTGGGGGCATTGGAACATCACACTAACTAAACCGTCAATTCATCAACCTTGACTCAATTATCGTAACTTATAATTCTCACACGAGGCGAACGAAGTGTTCCATGACGACTAGCAACTTCCATTGCGCCTACTAATACTACCAATCGGTAATTGGCGGTTACACAACCGCCAAGTCGGGAAAATTCTGGCGCTATGACGATCAGTCCGAAAAGAGGAGAAGTCTGGGGGAACCAAGATCATAACGCACCTCGATGGAACCCTGCGCGAGTGTTAGAAGAAGTGCACCGAGAACCGAGAAACCGCAATTGGTGCGCATCACATACGACCCGCCGGCTGAATGCAAAACTTTCAGAAACCTTCGTGAACAATCTTAATTTGACCCCGGAGCCGCAGAATCCGTTGATGTCTAGGTCTACAGGGGGATATTGTAGCACAGTATCATACTCTTCAAATTACTTTCGGCAATATGGGAAGTATTATTGGTATCGGTAAACCATGCGGCACAAACGGCAGTCCACATAGAGCATAGTCCAGTTTCACTTTTGTTAATCCACGAATGCCAGATTGATGAGATTCGTATCCCAGTGCGACTTTCTCGGACTCTCTCGCATTGGCGAGCAACTGCCGGTCCACAACTAGGGGAGACCGGATTGCAATCAACGATTAGATAGCCAATCGCTGTCAAGTCAAAATACACACATTTCTCATATATATAAAGATCGGACGACTGCCAACTGTTTCTAGTCAAGGAGTTCGTGCTACAGAGACTCAAGCTTTTTTCATCAACTGTATATACTCCGCAACGCAAAGATGATGCTCAGAGCCAATGCGGGGGTGGTTTCGACCACTCTACTGCTCCTCGCGTCTGTGACAGATGTCATCGCCCAGACATGCGACCTGCCGTCTACCTATCGCTGGACATCGACTGGCGCGCTGGCCACACCCAAATCCGGATGGGCCTCGCTCAAGGACTTCACCACCGTCACTTACAACGGTCAGCACCTCGTATACGCGTCGACTCATGACCAAGGCTCAACCTGGGGATCCATGAACTTTGGCCTCTTTTCCGATTGGTCTCAAATGGGTGCTGCGTCTCAAAATGCAATGACCCAGTCCGCCGTCGCGCCTACCATCTTCTACTTCCGTCCCAAGAACATCTGGGTCCTCGCCTATCAATGGGGTCCGACTCAGTTCTCTTACAAAACGTCGAGCGATCCCTCCATTGCGAACGGGTGGTCCGCGGCGCAGCCCATGTTCTCCGGAACCATCTCCGACTCCAGCACCGGCCCCATCGATCAGACGCTCATTGGCGACAGCACGAACATGTACCTGTTCTTCGCGGGAGACAATGGCAAGATCTACCGCTCTAGCATGCCCATTGGAAACTTCCCGGGCAACTTTGGCACCGCCTCGACAGTTGTCATGAGCGACACGACCAACAACCTCTTCGAGGCTGTCCAAGTCTACACCGTTAAGGGCAAACAGCAGTACCTCATGATCGTCGAGGCTATTGGCGTCAACGGCCGCTACTTCCGCTCCTTCACGGCCACCAGTCTCGGCGGATCGTGGACGGCCCAGGCCGTGACCGAGAGCAACCCCTTTGCCGGCAAGGCCAATAGCGGTGCTACCTGGACCAACGACATCAGCCACGGTGACTTGGTTCGCAGCGATCCAGACCAGACCATGACTATCGATCCGTGCAACCTTCAACTGCTCTACCAGGGACGATCCCCTAGTTCCAGCGGCGACTACGGCCTGCTGCCCTACCGCCCGGCAGTTCTGACCCTGCAACGATAGGATTCCTCCGCCGGACCTCAACCGCCTGGACACCTGTGGCGCTAAACTTTACACTAGGGACAGTTCTTAATATTCTTGAGTCCTCCCCTAGCTCAGTGATGGGTCAGACAGCCAATCAGGAAAAACGTGTACGGAGTCAGTCCAGGAGAGTGTTTGCGCATCGATGGGCTTCCCTTTCACATGTAAATATTGATCAAACATACAGCACCTTTAGGCCAGGAGGTCTTCACTGATCGCCTCCCATTGAACATAAATTATTATTACCAAGCTTTCATGCTTTTGCCTCAAATCTACTTAGATCCTATGTTCAGCTCCAGCCATTGGTTCTCCTGTATGAAGGCCTGCGATGACCTTGCCACTTCATACAAACACACCATAAACTAGAACTTATGTGCCGCACGACAATAAAACTCGTGATAGTGATATCGAGAAAGTATGGACAGTCGGTCACACCCATCGTACTTTCTGCACACCATCGGATGAGATATGCATCAAGTAAGCAGGTCCAACATCCTTGGCAAACCTGTTGGTTACATGCGCTCATATACATTTCCTCATCTTTGGCGAACCACGGCGCCTGAACAGGCGGCATCTCCTTGCACTTACCCCGCACTCGAGATGAGAGACGCCAGATTGTCGCTTGGAGAAAGGGTTTGCTGACGCCGCGTTTATTGCTCAACTCATACAGGCTATGGCCGCCCCGTCAAGCTTTCCCAACGTCTTTCAGTCAGCTTACTAGATGACAACGTAGTCAAAATCAATACCATGCGGCTATTACATACAACTACATTTGAATTGCGAGAGTTCTCCGGTACAGACATACCTCCCTACGGCATCCTGTCCCATACTTGGGGGCGTAACGAGTTCACATTCAGAGATTTCCAACGAGCTGGATACCGCGGTGGGATCACGAAAATCGATGGCATGTGTCGTGTCGCTCGAGACCAAAGGCTTTCCTGGGTCTGGATAGACACTTGCTGCATAGACAAGAGCAGTAGCACGGAGCTGTCTGAGGCCATCAATTCTATGTTTGCATGGTACAGACGGGCTGCAACATGCTTTGTGTACCTTGAAGATGTTCCTGGGGGTTATAAGTTTAATCCCAAAGACAAGGTCTTCGCCAATAGTCGCTGGTTTAGTCGCGGTTGGACCTTGCAGGAATTGTTGGCGGCGACCACAGTATTCTTTTACGACCGGTCCTGGAGCTTCGTGGAGTGGATTGAAAAGTCCGGTGACACTGACGGTAGAGCCCGTCCATCAAATATGGTACTCGGGAAAAGGAAGATAAGCCAAGTCGATAACGAGAGCTTCGACATGAATTTCAACATGAATAACTTCGCCTCGGCTCTCGGCAGTATAACGAACATAAACTTCATTGCGTTAACCAGAAAATTCGAAGATGTGCATCGGTCCTTCTCAGTGGCGGAAAAGATGAGTTGGGCATCGAGAAGAGAGACAACCCGTTTAGAGGATAAGGCCTACTCCCTCATGGGCCTGTTCGATGTGAATATGCCGCTGCTATACGGAGAAGGTGAAAAGGCTTTCTTTCGGCTCCAGGAAGAAATCATCAAGAAGACTGATGACGAGTCGATATTTTCTTGGGGCTATGGAGAACCTGCTCGGTTTGAAGGGGGGTTGTTCGCCAAATCTCCGGCCGACTTTCTCGGGTGCCGGAATGTCACAATGGTCGAGACCGCGGGCAACACCCCGCACTACTATCTAACGAACAAAGGTCTGCATATTCAGACACGATTCACAAATACACTACGGAGGATGGGAACTTTCATCTACGCCATGCTACACTGCACGGACAGATATTTAACTTCGGGGAAGAATTGCATAGCTATTCCCCTCTACTACGTGGGCAACCTCATCATCCGCCCGCCTGGTGCCGTACCTCTATTGATTGACGAAGCCGACCTCGGCACAGAGGCTGTCTATCTTTACATCCACGTCTCCGGAAGTTTTGACAGCTTCAAAACAGACTTCCCGATGCCGGGACATATGTTAAGACGGGTGGAAAAGTCTACAACTGTTCAGTTTACGAGCGCCCCAGGCAACATTAAGCTTGCTGAGGTGTACCCACCCAGCTGGTATCCGCTGTGTACCACATCAAAGTCACTGATAGTAGTACAAGACTTGGCGTCGCCAACAACAACCGCCACTGTCTGGATGAGATTTTGGGATCTATCCTCTGGCCTCGATTTCGCCTTACGACTAGATTTAGAGTGGGAGTTGGTACTTTCCCAGAGACCAGATCAGCTTGGGCTAGCGCTGGTGTCCGTACACCCACTTGTGAAACTCATACCGCAGGACATGTATCTATTCGACGAGGTCTTTCATGATGGACTATCAGTCTCGGAGTGGGGAGAGAAGATATCCTGGGGCGATGGTGAGCTGGGTGCTTCCTGGGCCCAGGACGAATTCGATTCCAACATTCGATTAACATTGCCTCCTTCAAAAGGGGATACGATTCTGACAAAGAAAGCTCTCTCATCTGAAGAAGCACGAAGAAAAGTAAGAATAGAGGAAAGATTTCATTTAGTGCAAGCGGCGAGGGGGTTGAAGAGGTGAACATACCTCGACTTGTAACTCAGGAAGTGGATATTAGATTTAGTTATACCCAGTGTAGGAATCATGGATGAATAGGACATAAGGTGAATGGTTGGATCCGCAAATTCCACAGTATTGCAAGCTCAATGCTGTGTCATCCTACTCTATTGGCGACATGCGCGTGAGCACCGTTATCTGATTTCACGAACGCATGCCCCGCACACAAGCGCGCAGCGACTGTTTTATTTCCTACCCATCAGCCGTGATCAAACCAACAGACGCGCATAAGATGTTACTCTTTACAAAGTATTCATCCCATGGCTGACGTGTTACGGCAGGTCACCTCGCGCCTTTGTCGCAGCCGCGAAGCCTGAAGGTGATGTGGTCTCACGACCGGCATCTCCCCACCTGAGTCCGGTGAAAAGGCGCCAAAAATAGGGGTCTCGGACACGCACGAAAGGGTGCGGGGGCCGCTAGTTCGACGTCCGGGCCTCCGTACCTGGGGCCCGGGCGTCTGACGGCAGTCCGGTTGCTAGGAACGAACATGAGGTAGGCCTTGATCGCTTGACATCGGACTGTTCATTGCGTCCAGTCTGTTCTTCTTTCGGCGAACTATAAACTTCATCGATATCCTTCTCTAAAGTGCACCTAACTTGCCTTTTTATCTTTCGCTCGATATCCCAGCTAATTCCCTGTATTTACTTCTACATTAACCTTTCAGACACAATGGCGAGCCCTGCTGGAAACATCTCCTTTGAGGGTAAGTCATGGAAACCATGCACAATGGCTGGATAATGACTGACCGAGTCGCTCAGACTATCTCGGCCTCTCTGGCTGCATCTTCGAGTGGGCCGACAGCTACGACTCCAAGGACTGGGATCGTCTCAGGAAATGCATTGCCCCTGAGCTTCGCGTAAGTTATCCGTCCCACGGCGATGCTTTTCACTGCCTTCGAAACTGCACGTTTGTACTGATCTAATGCAGATTGACTACCGCTCCTTCCTCGACAAGATCTGGGAGGCCATGCCCGCGGAGGAGTTCATCGCCATGATCTCGGACAAGTCCGTCCTCGGCAACCCCCTTCTTAAGACCCAGCACTTCATCGGCGGCACCCGCTGGGAGAAGGTCTCCGAGACCGAGGTCATCGGACACCACCAGCTCCGCGTGCCCCACCAGAAGTACACCGACGCCTCCCGCAAGGAGGTTGCCGTCAAGGGCCACGCTCACAGCTACAACAAGCATTGGTACAAGAAGGTCGACGGCGTCTGGAAGTTTGCTGGTCTCGCTCCCGAGATCCGCTGGTCAGAGTACGACTTTGAGGCTGTCTTCGCCGATGGACGTGATTCCTTCGGTGCTGAGGAGACTGTCGATAAGAAGAACAATGTCTCTGTTGTCGAGAAGGAGCTCAAGGTTGCCGCTGCTGTTTAAATAATGTCAATGTAATGAGGGAATACCTCCGGTCATGGGAACGGCGAATCGGGACGTGTAATTTACGATGGTTAATTAGGTTCATAAGTTAAGGCTTTGAATGAAACATGGCTACACCTGATTCAGTAAACAAACTACGTGGTATTATACTGGCTGTTAGCCTCTTTGATCAGAATATCAAAATCAGATGATCGCCGGCACAAAGACCTAGCATCCCAGCGCGCTTCGGATCTGGAGGAGCAAGTTCATGAGCAACATTTTCAGTCACCACGGCTCAGGCGTCTGGTTCAGGGCCTATGAGTTTGGTCCTGTCAAGTTCTCTCCTACCAGCGCTACTGAGGAGTGGGGTACGTACGATAAGGATGTCAATGCCTTCACTAACCCCAGCAACCTTGCTATTAATAGGTGTGTAATACAGGGAAGAAGCTCACAGAGGCTAACTACTATTAGGGTTTAAAAAATAAATTATTAAAATCTACCCTTCCCTCGAGGTATATTACTAGCGCTCTATATATACTTAAGCTACTTTTTTATTACTTAGTCTCCCTTTTTATATTCCTTAAACTATCCTTTAACTAACGGGGTTTAATTAATAAGGCTTAATAAAATACTCCCTCTCCTAAGCTTTATTTTAAAACTATTTATAATTTATATATATTATATTAATTTTTTATTTATAAAGTTTTTTAATATATTATATAAAAATAAGTAAAAGTAGTGCTTATTAATTTAAATATAAACCCCTTATTTTAAATAATAAATTTAATTAGCCTTATAATTTTATACTTAAGTTATTCTTATTTATAATCCATTTTTATAATTATTAATATTTAAATAGTTATTACCCTATTTTTATTTACTAATATTAACCCCTTTTTAAATTACTACGATTCTTAATTTTTTTTTTTATAATTATTTTAATTATATATAGTCTCTCGTTTTTATTAATATTTATACTATTTTTTTATTATATAGATCTTATAACTAATAAATATTTTTTAAATCCCTTAATTTCGTATACTCCCCGTATTTAAATTAATCTTTTTTAAAATTATATTATATTATTATTAATTCTATTTTAATATAAATATAGTTTTTTTTAATAATATTATTATAATTAATAATAAACTAGTTGTTAGCGCTATAAGTATATTTAGTAATAATAATAATAACTATTTATTTAAAAAGCCTAATATTCCCTTTACTTACCCTAACTTTATATATATATTACTATTTATATACTACTTATATTAATTATTATAAACTCTTATTAAAAGAAAGAAAAAAGCGAATGTTAAGAAGATTGGGGTTAGCTAGGTACGCCCGCTTTTTTATTTTATTTATATTATATATAAAGTATTTAATTTAAAAACTAAGTATTATAATTAGTTAAGTTAGTAATTTATAACCCTTAGTTCGCTCTTTTATTTAATACTTTTTTAAAATTTAGCGTACGTTATATAAAATATATTACGTAAAACTATTCTTATAAAAATATAATAAGCGCTTAGTACTATTATTACTCCGTTACTTTTTTTATATATTAATTAATAATATTTTAGGTCTCTAAATTTATAGAATTTATAATATAAACCTTTTAAAATACTACTCTTATTTTAAATAATAATATTTATAATTTAGAGGTTTATCGTTTTATTATCGCTCTATTATTATTATTATTTAAGTTATTAATATTATTTTATAGTTTTAGTAAACTTATAACATTATTATTAATAATACGTAGAGGGTACTTAAGCGCACTAATAAAAAGGCTCGTTTTACCCCTATTATTAATAATAATAATAATAAAATAATTATAAGCTCCTTTTATACTATATTTTTATTTTATAATAATATAATAATCGCACTACTACGTACTATTTATAATAAAGTATACTATTTAAATAATATTTTAGTTATAATATAGTCGTCCTACTTATACTCTGTATTTATAACTAATTATTTATAAATTTATTAATAATAAGGTAATTATTTCTTTTTTAATAATTCTAAGGATAAAGATAAAAGCGGCTCCTCTATACGTAAGGGTAGTCCTTTTATAAATTATAAAAATTAAAAAAACTATTCGTAATTAATACGTTTATATTATTTAGTTATAACTATATAGCCCCCTTTTTTTATTATTAATAACTAATTTACTACGTTATTAAGCTTATTAAGAGCTAAAGTGCGCTATTTAATTAAAACTCGTTTTTTATATATATTAATTAATACTATATTTTTAATATACCTAGCTAGCTTTTATATATTTTTATTATTATTATATCCTTTTTATTAAATTAAGTATTATTACCTTCTTTTTAGCCCTTTATATTATATAATATTCTTTATTTTATAAAATAGTTCCCTATTTATATCCCCGATAAATAAAAGTTTTTAAAGGGCTTTTTTATAATATTAATACGGCTCGAATAAGAATATATAAAATACGTTATATATTTTATATTATATTAATACGTTTAATTAATAAGTAACTTTTACTATTTTAATTATTAATTTAATTTTAAATAGGCTTAGATATTTATTAACTAACTTCTAACTAGGGTACTATTTTTTAATATTCTTTTTTAATAATAATACCTAGTTACTTATTTTATATAATATATTTATTTTAGTTTTATTAACTTATTATTTATATATTTTATATATTTTTTATATAAAAAGTTATAAAGCTTCTTAGTTAGTTCGTAATTAGGCTATATACTCTTTAATTAAAATATTTTATATACTATCTCGAGTCCTTATTAAGATTAATATAAAGTAAGTAAATAAGAACCTAAGTAAGGCCTTAATAAGCGTTTTATAAATTACTAAGTACTAAGCGTTATTATATATAAACTTAGCTAAGTAAAAACGCTATACTTAATTTAATTAGTCCTAAGTATAAAAGTAATAAACCCCCCGACGGAGTAATCCGCCGGGGCCGTACTATATATTACGTATTAAAAAAAACTAGGTATATTACGCTCTATACTTAACTACTAATTAAAATTAACTAACTTAACCGTTATTTTCTTTTTATTAATAGCTCCCGACCTTCTCCCGCTTCTAGCTATCTAAAGGGTAAGCTATACTTATTTTAATATATATAAAACCTCTTAATACTAGCCTGCGTAAGTAGCTAGATTTTATATTATATACTCTTTCTTATTAAAAGTTAAGGGGCTCTTTATATATTCTCTTATATTTATAATATAGCCCGTATTAAAAAGATTTCTAACTTTATAAAATATAATTTCTAAATTAGTATTAATATACTAAATCTTAATATTTATATTAGCCCGGCTATTTATAATATTCGTATTATTACCTAGCTAAATTCTCTATTATTAAAAAGTATTTTATTAATTTTTAAGCGTACTTATATTAGTTATAATAGCTATAATATTAAGCTAGCTAAAGAGGGCGCTTAGCCCGAGAGGGGTAAACTTATTAACGAGTATTTTTAGCTTATTAATTACTAACTATATATTAAAAATAGAGTAGGTTCTCGTTAAAATAGTAATTTATATATTAATAAGTTTATTTAGTAAATTTATTTAATAAATTTATTTAGTTTAAATAAAGAGTAGTTTTAGGTAATATTAAAAGCGATAAAGATAAAAAGAATTTTTATAAGCTCTAATACGTAAATATTAACCTATTTAGCCCTTTTTTTAAAAACCTCTATATTATTATTAAAGTTCAGAACTTCTATAGTTAAAGAAGGCCGCTTTTAATTATTACGGCTAATTATTATAACTAATTATTACGGCTAACTTCTACTATTAACCTTTTTAGCTAGTACCGCTACGTAACGAAGAGGGTAGCTTACTTATCCTAAATTATATAATAGTTTTCGTATTAAAATTACTATATTACGTTAAGCGCATATTTAGGGTATATTATATATATTATATAATTAAAAAGTATACCGTATTATATAATTTCTTTTAAAAACGTAATCCCGTTAAGGTCGATCTTTTATACTTATAAAGCTAGAAAAAAACTACTATATAAAAATAATAAAAGTACTACTCTAAGTATTAGTTCTATTATTTTATTTAACTATTTATTTATAAATAAAATACGGTATTAAGACGCCTCTTTATTATTAAAAAGTAATAAAAATAAGTTTAAAACTTATTTATAAATAAAAAGCCCCTATTAAAAACGATTCCTTTAAGTATTCTAAACTTCGTAAAGATTTTTATAAATAAGAAGTTTATAAATCCCTAGGTTATAAGGGTCGTCTTTATAATAATATAAATACTATACTTCGTAAATTGGTCTATTATAACGAGTATTATATTATAAAAGTACTTTTTAATTAATATAGTTAATATAAGTAAGCCCGTAATAAAGTTTAGTAATATTTCTTATTATAGTTTAACTAAGGTAAGTAGGGGGCATAATAAGCTATATAACTTATAATAACGAGGCTTTATTTACTAATATATTATATAAGTATTAATATAACTTTTTATATCTTTATTTACTTTATTTTAATAATAATAGCGTTTTAATAACGCTATTATCTACTTTGTATTATAATATCTTATTATAAGCGTATTATAATATATTTTAATAATCTCTCTCCTTAGCCCCTTATATAGTAGTATATAAATACGGCTATTATAATATAATAACCCTCTTAAGTTATATACTTAGCTCTATTATTTTCTTTTAACTAAATAAGGCCGTTAGTTCTTTTTAATTTATTACTTATTTTTTATAAAAGCGTCCTCTTATTAAGTAGCCCGTAATTAACTTATTATTAATAACCCCTCCTTACTAAATACTATTTTAAGTACTTTTATTATATTAAAGTCTTATAAAATAAGTAGCTTATAATTTATAGTTTTAATAATAAGTTTAAATAGCTTTTTAAGTATTATATTATAATTTTAATATTCTAAGCTCGTAGCTCTATTCTATTTTTTAAAATACTTTTTAAAGCTCTTTTAAACTAAAGCTCTTAATCTTTTTTATTTACTTTT